GAGAATGGATTTGAGTTCACCGGGTTGAACAGGTGACTCATAATGCAATAAGGCTATTTTAGAGCCTGCATGTCTTCCCCCTGCTCTCTCCCAGCTTTCCTGTCATAATAAAGGCTTTAAAAAAACATAAAAAGAATGCTAAATGTAAAACTTCAATATTTGAAGTGGTAATAATTCACATTATTCAGATAGATGGATTTAATTATCTTTAAAAAATATCTTGTTGCTGACCTTCTGAAAATGTAAGTATTTTGAGTGACCAGTAGGACGTACTATGAAGCATGCTCAACATAGCCAGGATTTCTTTGTATCAGCTGGCTTGAAAAAGTCTAAAACCTAGTCAGAGAAAATTGGTGGTTATCGGATTTGTTTGTTAACTCAGGCTTTCTGCTTTAGGCTCTTAGTGCGCTCACATAAAGCAAAGCTTCTGATGGGTCATTTGACTCTTCTGCGCAAAATAGATCAACTGAGCACGAGGTGCTACAAGAGGAACGGGTGATAGATATCTATAAAGAACAGAAAAAATATAACAGTAAAATACAACCCTGCAGCTGCAAAGTAGACAAGAGAATTACGCTGCAGAAAATCATTAATTTTATGAATTAATTGTCATCACAAACTCACAGTGGTAGAAAAATATATCAACATAAGTTCATATGTTTATTTTACTTCTTGGTGCACTCAGATGTTTATTTCTAATGTTGAAACTTAATGCATTTAAGGTTGATCAGTGTACTCTTATTTCAGCTACTGTTCTGTTTCATAAAGATGCATCGACAGATAGCCCGATCTTTTTGTAAACCGCATATTTCTTGTAAGACTGCTTTCATACTCTCATCCTTGCAAAACTGCAAGATAACTATGATTAAAAACTGGAAAAAAGATCTCTGACAATCATTTCTCACCAGTTTCACTGAAACTTGAGCAGTTTCTCTTTCACTGTTTATTACAGCTGAATTTCCTTTTCCTTTTTGTAGTTACCATCATATTACACTGAAATCTGTATGACCTTAGGTTTTGTAATTGCATGCAATTTTTTAAATTAGCTATAGCTCAAGTAGATTAAACAGCACTTCACTCACGATGACCTCCTTGTATGCTTTCTTTAGTGGATAAAATCCAGACATCAGAAGTGTGCCTGTGTCGCAGTCCTGGTGTTTGGAAATTTGAGCTAATCAAAATGCGCACTGTTGTCTCAATATGTGGGATGAAAGGCGAGGGATTAAAACTGTGCAATCACCCATAAAGTGAGAAACCTGGTCAACCTTATGTGTAACCACACATGTGCATTTATACACTGCAGCATCAACACCTGGCAAGAGAACAAGGAACAAGTCTCCACGTTCCTCTTTTCTCCGTCTCATTATTGTTCTACAGCAAGAACAAACACACCTGCACTTACTTTCTGGATGATTCTGCAACCACGTTCACAGATGATTTCCCACTAAGACACACTGGAAAAAAACACACACACGCACACCTATCTCTTCCTGTCTTCCACAGCAGTGCGATAGTGTGACAAGGTGTTGAGTCACAGCCTTAACTCATTTTGTTCTCACATGTATCCAGCCTCTTTGTGTTTAAGTTTGTTTCGAAGCCGTTGAGGCCATGGCAGGCTCACGCCACTGACGCTTATCACGTACTAAATCCCAGCTCGTGGGACTGTTCACATATGGACTAAATTAAATACTTTCCCCGACGTTAGTGCACTGAGTTGTAATACTGTAATCTGTTAAGCTCTTGAGTTCAACCAGTCTCGCCTACTTTAGTGAAAACAGCATAATGACATTATATTTTATTAAGGCAGATGGAGTTAATTCATCAAAAAAAACAACAAATAAAGGTAAATGAAGGCTTTCACTTTATCTCGTTAGCACTTACATTACAGGCTGGGTGCTGACATATTGTTTGGTGATGCTGGCTATAAAACTAAAGGGGCTGGAGGCCACTGTTCATGAGGAAGTACTTTTTGTATTATGTATGTTTCAGATGTTCATCCATCCGTTCGCTTCCGCTTATCCTTTTCAGGGTTGCGGGGGGCGCTGGGCGAAAGGCTGGGTACACCCTGGACAGGTCGCCAGTCTGTCGCAGGGCCAACACACAGGGACAGACAACCATTCGCATTCACATTCACTCCCACATTCACAGCTAGTGGCAATTTGGATTATCCAGTTAACCTATCCCCACAAGCTGCTTGTCTTTGGACGGTGGGAGGAAGCCAGAGTACCCGGAGGGAACCCACACAAACACGGGGAGAACATGCAAATTCCACACAGAAAGACCCCGGCCTGATGGTGGAATTGAACTCAGGACCTTCTTGCTGTGTGGCTACCCACTGTGCCACCGTGCTGCCTTGTTTCAGATGTTATAAAACAAAAACTACAACATGGGTGTGTCAAGGCTATATACAGTCTGTCTTTTACCACAAGCACTGCATATTCCTTCATTCAACTATAAATCTCCACACATGTGTGGCATTAATATATGACTTAATGAACCGATCAGTCTTACTAAAGTGGGCTATAGTAAGCTAATACTTTTGAGGAACATATAGAATCAGTCCCACAAACTACAGGTCACTTTAACATCAGTAATTTAAAATGTTGATTAAACTGACGGATCGAAAAGTCAGTGTGTTTATTTCTTTAAGAGCAAAAAAAACCCCTCCCAAACTGATAGTTATATCATAAAGGTATCTACATGCAATAGAACTAACATAGCCTATACTTTTTTTAACATTAAAAAATGCAACTTTATGTCACTTACATATATGTAAAAGTAAACTATATTCTGCCTCATTGTGTATCGCATCCTGAGCTCCTTTGTTTGGGCCTTTAATCAGTCACAGTGCCTTACGTTTAACGTTTGACCTTCCTGTGCAAGCTACGTAAGCTTCAGTGCTTCAGTGCAACTGCCAGTTAGCCGAGTAGGTTAGGGTGAACGATCACAATGTCAGGACAGTGGATAACATCCCCAGCCTATTTCTTTGTAAGTTTGTTAAGTTAGCTAACACACATGCGCTCACTTTCTGGTTGGCTCTGCAATCAAGATAACGGAGGCACTAAAATACACACACGTTCCAAACTTGTGTGACAAGGTGCTGAGTCACAGCCTGTACTCTGCTTTCCTCACCATCTTCAACACTGAATAATGGAAATTGCTCACAGAGGATGTGAGAAACACCAGCTTTTTTACTGCTTTTTTACTGAAAACATTCCAAAATCATGACTCCCGCAGCTGAGTAACTGTATGGTCAGTGATTACAGCACTGGCTAATTTAGGTTTGTTTAGTGTGTGGGGGAGGAAATCTAAACATTAGAATGCTGAGAAATATTAACAAATGTTGAAAAATAATTTTTAATCATCGATTTCTACATCTGTGCTTGTTTATATTACTAATGCATTAGCAGTTTACACGGCTGAATCTCTAATACGTAAGCGCAGGGTCACTAGAGATCAGATATATGAGTTGGTTAGGAAAAAATGCAGAAGCAAAGTTGCAGAAAAGGTTCACTCTATTCCTGTTTGCAGCTCATTAGTTACACAGACAAAAAAAAACACTCAGTGAGTGAAGCAGATTTCTCATGCATCAAAAGACTCGAATGGAGACTTGCAGCTTTGTAACTGTTAAGCTTTTGACACTGAGGGAGTGTTTTAAGCTCCTTACTGAGATATAATAGGCCTGTCATGCATTTTTCTTGACTTCTATTTTTTAACCCATTTCTGTGATGAGATTAAAGTGAATTTAAACTAGATCATGTTTTCTCCTCGCTTCCTCTCTGTCTTCCCAAAGCTCCAGTCAGCTCTTTGATAGAGGAGTAAATAAAGCCGGAGTGATGCAATATGCCGAAATATTGCCAAGGAAAAGAAGCCAAGAGGAAATTAAGTCTGATTACAACTTCACAACTGCACCATTCACAGGATTTATACTCCCAAGAATAATATGAACGTGTCTTTAGCAGAGCAATAGTCAGAATACTGCAACTGCAATCTCATGGAACAAGTACCGAAGCAAGCAAGGTGATAGGAATTTTCTTAAACCTGTATTTTTTGTGTGTGATTTGGCCTAAAGGGTATATAGTAGGAAGTTTCAAGAATACTGTAACTGAGAGGCTAGAGCAGCATAGCATGCAGAAAATATTTAACATCTCAAATGCGATATATATTAATAAACTGAAAAAGCTCTGATGAATTTCACCTTCGGCATTTACAAATACATCTATGTAACATATGTGTTTTCGTGTGCTACATAATGAACTTCTTTCACTCTCCCCACATTAAAAGGTCAATTTGTATCACGGGGTTTATTTTTGTTTCTTTTCAACTTCTGTAAACATTGTTTTCCTCTCTCTACGCTTAACCTATCCATCACCTGCTCCTGCACTGTTGAGGTTTTTCTATCATTAGGCTGTTTTCCTGTTTTTTGGTATGTTTTTTAACTGCAGTGGTAACTGTGGCATCTGGATTTTCTGCAGATTCAGGCTGTCTGTTCGTGTAATACTTTGATCACAGGTCTTTTTATTTTTATCAACCAAAGCAGAGTGGAAATGACCAGCTGCTAAGAGACTCTGATCACACACACACACTCACACACACACACACACACACACACACACACACTCACTCACACACACACATTTTGTCCTGTTTTTTTTTTTTCCTTTCTTGTTTCCTGCCCTGCTGAACATGTGGTTCATTTCAGCAGCATCCAGCTGCAAATCTGGATTCACAGAGAAACAATGAATGAAAAAGGCAATTTTCCAACAGCCTATATATTTTTGAGTTGCTGAGATGAGATGATTTGGCAAAAGTCGTTTATATCCTTTAGTTAATGGCAGTCTTGTCTGTCAGCTGATCAGCTTCACTACCACAGCTGCAGGGTGTTCAGCCTTCTGGTCAAGAGATGTAAAAATGTATCCTGCTGCAGGCTGGTTTTAACACACATATGACTTCTTTCTCTCTCTCACGCACACACAGAAATAGTGTCAGTGATCACTAACCCTTTGCAATAGGAGATGATTATACTCGTCTCCTATTCGTCTGAGCTGTTGTCCGAATGTCTCTGCCTGCATGTCCCCTGCTGCGTTTTGCTGCCACGTCCTAGAGGGGCTGGGTGACGGATCTGCAACACAAAGTAAAAAGAAAACATGCCATCTTTGCATATGATGATCAGGTAAACAACTGTTATACATCCTGCGTGTCAGTTCCAGGGTGCAACAGCATTAACTCACATGATCTTTCATTACATTTCTGAAGAGGTTAAATGCTCAAAACTTATCCACCGAGACAAAATATGTGTTTATTTATGCTTCATATAAGTGAAGCATAACCAAAAAGTATTTGGAGCTTTATTTGTGGTTAGGGGTTCAGACTTGAAAACACTATGAAACTTCAGCACAAAGATATTTGAAATATGACTTGTAAGATTAAGAGAAACCACAAAGGAACACAGAAACCGAGTGCATGTATTTACATAGCTTTACATACGAGGTGTTTCAAAATGGCGGCTCTCTGATCGTAACTTATGTTAACAATAGGTTGCCCAGAAAGAAAATAAAGTCCTTTTGGGCATCACCGGGCACATGGCTCAGACTGTGGTTACACCAAATTCACTGCAGCCAAGCTAAGTTCCTTTGAACTTGATTCACTTGTTGATATTGAATCTTTTAAAAAAAAACATGAACAGATGTAACAGAAAAGCACTGTAACTCAAACCTTCATCGTTTTTTTTTTGTTGTTGTTGTTGTTGTTTTGGAGAAAATCATATGTGATGTGCATGTTCGGCTTTCCCGCCAATCCATGACTGCTTTTATCAAAAAAACACACCAATAAACTCCTTTTAATGGTAAAATTTTGAAGAAACTATACGACAGACAAAGAAGAAAAACAATCAGAGTGTGATTCATAAAGTGAGACTCCTTTGGTTTTGACCCAGTTCAGTTTATTTGATGTTATAATCGATGCATGCTCACAGTGACATAATAAAAACCCCAGAGGAGATGTAAATCAGGGTACTTATTCAACGAGGTGAGACAGAATAGGTAAATGACAAACATATTTGTTAATTATTAACAGTAGAGAAGGTTATCAGACACATTTAGTGCACTTTGAGTGCTTCATGGTGTTACAGTTGCCAGCTGACCAGGATGAGGAAAAGTGTGAGTGCGTTCATGTGTCAGTGCGCGTGAATGTGTGTTTTCGTGGTTAATCTGTTAGATTTTCAGTCTGAACTACAATACGATTATGAAAGGCTCTGACCTCTTACCGATCTCCGCTTATGACTCATGCACGCCATTATGAAACCCAGACTTAATATTTCTCACATCCTCTGATATTGACGAGACCAATACAGCAATCAATCCATCAAGCTGCTGACTGCAGCGTCAGCAAGAGGGATTTTAATGGCGATATGGGCAAGGAGCTACGCTACAATGCCTCAAAGTGTAATAAATGCTGAGTAATCACTGAATCTCACTGATTTATTCGGGTTTGGAAGCTACGAACGGTGCAGGTAGGCAATGGCAGGATGCTCAAGACATCAAATAATGAATTTTAAAACACAAAACAAGAACTCCTATGAAGTCTTGCATATGTTACTTGTTTCCTCCTTTCAAAGATTTCTGTACTGACGTCCAAGATGCTTTTAAGTAACACTGCATGTACTTAGCGGGCTAAATACTGTATCATGCACGAGAACTTACTTTATCAGGATGTTCCTTTGACAATGACCACAATAACCAAAACGACAGTTATACATAGTATACATGATGATACTGATTTTGTATAGGAGCAGTTCTAAGACATCAACCTGGCTGCTGTAATGCAATCTGCTGACAACCAATTTTGGCTCATAATCCACAGTTTGCTCATGCCGAAGGGCATTCAGTTAAAAAGCAAAAAACAAATGCCAGCAAACAGTCGCATCTTAGATCAAAAGAGTACCAGAGTAACCTGAATAAATAGTGAATTCCTCTAACAGACAGTAAGTCGGCTTTGTGCAGCTTAGTAACTTGAATTTCAGCTAAAGTTTATTTGTAAGATCAAAGCCTCAGGCAAAATCTATCTTTGTTCCATCCAGCCCTGAGGTTGTATTATAATTAGACTGTGTTAAGGACAAAAACTCACAAGAGGCATCTGTTTTGCTCTAAAACTGAAGAAACCTGACTGCACTGCGAGTGTGATCTTCCTGCTGCTGCAGGAGGAAGTACTGCGATGTCGAGCAGCAACAACAAGATAAACAGATCTTCCTTAAGCCCCTGCACCATATCTAACACACAAACAAGTTAGCAATCTTGATAAGTGAGACTTTTGTGTGTGATTGGGGGGACAATGTGTAACTTATTGCACAAGTCAGTTTGTGTTTATTGGTCCTATCTTGCAAATGCAGTGGACTGATTGAGATGCAAGTTACTGTCTGCATCTTACAAAAGACCTGAAGCCTATTTTGGCTACTAAGCGCACATACTGAGTCCTTTTTTGAGTGGCTTACTTAATAAACAACACGTAACCACACACATGGACTGCTCTGTTTTGACTGCTATCTTGTCTGTCTGGCTTCAGTGAAAGAGAATAAAAGAGACACAAGGCAATCAGCAAAGCTACTCGCTGCTATTATGGAAAAGAATAGCGACACATACAAAGCAGAGAATATGCTCAAGTTTTCGGAAGTTTTATTTCAGCCTTAGGAGATTACTTTGATATTTACAAAAAAATAAAACCCCATTGTGTTTAGAAAAACAAATTGAAGGATTGAAGCTGAGATGTAAACAGAGAGGGTTAGACTGTAATGTAACGTAACCGCACAATTTTACCAGTCTGAGCAAAACAAATAGGTTTATTCTCATTAAGATGACAGAACAGCATTATTCCATAGAAGATTTATTTGCCTTCCACTGCACCAACACTGTGAAGGCATTTACTCTGTTAGTTCTTTTATCTGTTTTTTTTTTTTTGCCAAGTTTTAACCTCCTGGCAAAATTTTGTTTGTTACCAAGCAACAGGATGGGCAACTTTAGCCAACAGCATCACAGCTAAAAGTATGAGCCTTCTGTTTTTAAGCTGTGCTGATGTAAACAAGACAACTGGAGTACTATTTTAGACCAGTGATGCTGGAGGTGGCAGTTCTTTCATTTCTGTTTGGGATTGAAATAAACAGAAAACAATAAAAATAGGATCCAGGCTGTGATAACCGATAAAAACATTTTGGGGAATCCCTCAATGTATGCTCAAAACCGTTGGTCATAAAATTGCTGTGGGAGTATACACTAAATATTTAACGTTTAATGAGCATCTAAATACAACGGTGGCACGAATGATTTGTAATGAGTTTGTGGTATAGAGATTAAAAAATAATATTGGCACAACATTTTAATGGCCACATTTGAAAATGTGTTTATGTGATGATATAATCTAAGCTCATAACTTGCACTTCCTGTTTTATAATATTTAAAACTTTATCTGCTTTCATCTTTTATTATGGCAATTTGAATTTCATTTTAAGCTCTTTGGATAAGTTAAACAGCTTCTACTTCTACTTTAGTATCAACTGAACATTCTAATTAACAGCTAACTGACATGTATTTAGTTACTTTACACCTCAATCGATATATTAATTCCATAAAAAGGGAAATACATAAATTCTTAGTAACAACCTGCTAGCATCCTGAAGGCCTCAAATACTGCTGTTACCGGTATGTTTGCAGAGGACATATGGATAAAGGTACTAGCAATAAGGGCCTCAATCCACACTCATCAGATATGCTATATGAACGAAAGTACCAGGCCACCTACTCAGTACACCTGCTGGAGCTGCTCGGCCATGGAAACCCATGCCGTGAAGCTCTGCAGTTATTGAGTCAGCAAAGAGTTGGTGACTTTTACACACTATGCACCACTGCCTTTGGTGACCCTGCTATGTAACTTTATGTGGCTGAATTGCTGTGGTTCCTACACGCTTTCACTTTGCAATAATACCACTTACAGCTGATCGTGCAATATCTAGGAGGGAAGACATTTCTAACTGACTTGTAGAGGTGGCATCAACGTAAGCTCTTTAAAACGATTCATTCTTTCACAAATGTTTGTAAAAGCAGGCTACATGGTTTGGTTAGGTGCATGCTTTTGTGCACCTGTACCAATGAGACAGAAAACACCTGGATTCAAAGATTAAGAGGTGTGGTCCAATACTTTTAGTGTCACATTTAAACACACTCGGTAAGCCTTATGTTTCAGCATACTAAATTAATGTTGAGAAGGGACAAAGTTCTTCATCTTTAACTCAGTGTAACCGAGTACTTTTGATGCCTAAACCTAACCAACAAGAGTCCAACACCAAATGGACACCTTTTCTGCAACAACAGCAGCATCTGAGGAGCAACAGTATTTCACACTGTGGAATGGTATAACCTGAGTCTGCATCAATGCTGATGGAGGCTAAAGTATGACACGAAATTGGTGCAGTTTGGAGAATCAACATGTAGTTCAGCTTATACACATTTTTTTTAGCAGAATGCAACCCTAGACTATCTAAAACACAACCTTAACCTTAGTTTATGAATCCTAGAACTGAGCATGTTCTTTGTCAACTTCTGCAATATAATGGGTGAGAGGTGGATCTGACTGTGAAACCCGGGGAAACCACATGCTCGCTGTCATCCACACTTATGATTGACTTATTATTTATAATCAATAAGATTATCCAGGATGAACACTTTTCTTTTTTACTCCAGTAATGACAGTTTACAAAAACTAACTTTATTTTTTATAAATGTGTCCTAAACCAGCAATTACCCCATTGGGTAAGTCTCTTCTGAGGTTGAAGAGCAAAAGAGCTGAGGCCTATTTTCCCACATAGGCTTTTGTACTTTACAACATAGGTGTCAAACTCTGGCCCGCGGGCCAAATTTGGCCTGCAGCCTAATTACATTTGGCCCGCGAAGCCATACCAAATTATTATTAGAGCTGGTATTATACAGCTAATATATATATTGTTTAGTATTAAGCTTTGCTTGTCCCATATTCAGTTTTCCAGCAAAACTTATTTGAGTCCATAAGAAAAGATTCATTCTTATATCTGGAGGAAGATTTTTTTTTTCAATAAATATTAATGTTAGCCCGCAACTTTGTTCCAGTTTTGAATTTTGGCCCACTGTGTATTTGAGTTTGACACCCCTGCTTTACAACTACAAGTTTATTGCCAACCTTCAGTTGCACCCCTACTGGCCATTAAACAGAATGCAGCTTTAAGGTACTTCTGTGTTGTCACTTTTCAAAGCAGGAAACTTCAGCCATCTTTAATACTGTTAAAGCATGCAAACACAGCCCACTTAAATGTGACCAACCAATACTACTTGGACTACAAACTGAAACCTGAAAGATTCCATTACCAAATATCATGCTCAGCCATTGCTCAATGTTTGTGTGTTTCACATCTGCATTTCACCTGCAAGTTTGCTAAGTGATACTTAGCGAACGCTAAATAATGCTTACTTTGAGGAGTCAAGAGTCTTTAAGAGTACAGACTCAATTATCATTATGAAATACTGATACATTATGACTCTTTCACATCATTTTAAGTTTGACTAATAAAAGTGTATATAAATCTGACATCCATTAGGAGTGGCAGTAACGATGATGTCAGTAGAAATGTGTTTCTTTAGGTTCACTGACAGGTTCCTACATTGTGTGTGGAATAGTACACACATGCACACATTCCTGGGCATGGCCCTGTTAGTCTAGCCATGAGTCGGGACAACGTCTGAAACAAACCAACATCAGCAGGATTAACAACTCCTAACAGAAACATGGTACAGAATGGTCATCACGCATTACACCATTATGTGTTTGTCTCCCTCAAACCACCAATGTGAAGATGAAAATGACAAACCCTTACAGAGTAAGGGTGGGATTAAGACTTTGAAAACTAATGTGAATACAAGTTGTCACCGTTTCTGCTGGTTTTTTATGGGGGTTTTTGTTTTGTTTTTTGCAAAACAAAATCACACATCCAACCTATTGGATCCACCTTTGTCCACAATGTTATAACTATCACTCACCCTTTGTATAAATAAGTCAACAGTTTCCTTTTAAATTAAACCTGAGAATGTTATTCAAATGTATCCTGCAGGTTTTAGAAAGGTTTTACACACTCGAAGGCAGCAGGCATTACTCGCCAGAAAAACAAAGTACTACTACAGTGGAATGAAAACAGAGAAGCAGCAGAAGTGGATTTAGCAGCATGGAGGAGTCATTAGTGTGTTTTATATAAGCATGTTTCCACCTGGATTTGTTGGATTTCTCTTCAAGGGCAAACAGAGTAGCACATGCAGAGTATTAGTCAATAAACCAGAATCTCAAAAACAAAAAAGCAACAGCCTTACTCATGTGAGAATAGCAAGCATAGCACATCAAGGTAGTGGAAAAACGGCTCTCTTTCATGACTAAGCTCTAGAGTGAGAAAGGGGTGAAAACAAACACATCTTAAGTATGAAACTAGATATAAAAACATCCTAAGTATGTTTTTGTTCATCTTTTCACTATCATTGGTAACACTCAACACCACCGACCGCCCAAAGCCCCAAATCTTTGATAGAGGAAACGTGAGGGAACTAGTTGTAGACTCCTATCTAGTTTCCTATTAAGCTGCATACCCACACAGCCGTCTTACGTCCAGGGTAGTCTTTATTGACTGAGTCAGGTCAAACTTTCACCCACACCTATAACAGTATTAGCAGTGCGTTTAGGCATTTAGACAAATTCCTACACTTTAATTTGCATTCTTTATTGTGAGCATGAAAATTGTACTGTGTGCATGTCCTCTTTTACCATCTACAACAACAGCAACATCATGACGAAAGGCGCAAGGCGAGAAACACCTTTACCGTAATGTGAAGTACAGCCACCTTACATTACCAAATGGAGTTCCTGCATCTCGGTTTGTCACTCCATCACTTGGGAAACGACTTTACAAAAAGACACCTGAACATCTTCCACGTGCGTGCACTCACATTAATGCGGGAGTTATACATGAAGAGTCTGTGCTCACCGTGTTGCGTGCCCGGTCCTTCACCGTGCACCTCACCCATGCGCTGCAGGGCGTGTATTAGCACCTGTCCGGTGAGGCTCGGGGTCTGTATCGCTTTGTCAGACATCACTGGCTTCGGGGAGAGCGGGGAGCTTGGCAATGAGTCGCAGTCAGAGGAAAAATATCCACTGGAGGAACGGCGAGGGAAGCGGAATATCGTCCGGCTCTGAAAAACGTCAAAGCTCTTCGGGGTTCTGCACCAGGAAGGCGAATCCGGTTCTCCTCCTCCGGTAGAGCCGCGGTTTAAACGGGACGTTTGCGCTCCTGTGGCACCGACAGGTGGTAGATCTCCTCCGCTGGCCTCCGATGCTGTTACTGCGGTCGAGCCATCGGACGAATTTGGTGGTCTGTTGAATGAACAGAGCGGCACCGTCAGTTTGGCTGGTCATCCCTGTGCTCAAACAGCCAACAGCCTCTCGCTGTTGTTTCGTCTGGAGTTTCAGGCGCACGTATTCCAGCGATCCGCTGGCAGGACGTGACTCTGTTTCCAAATATCCCATCAGAACTGCGGGACTTCTGTCACTTAACTTAATTTTACACACGCGCCAACTTTTTTTTCTCCTTTTTTTGCCAAATCATAGCAGATGTAACGTGCTAACAATAAGTGACTTTTATGAAACGGTACTGTATTGTAACTTACTTCTCTGTGTAGCTGAAACTCAGATAAGCACAGGGAGTTCAGGAGCGAGTGTTTGGCTGTGCGCTGAGCGTGTTCCTGCTCTGTGGCCCAGGTTTCCTGTCCAACTGGCTGCCCGGTGCGCCTCCATTGTTTGAAAATAAATTTGCTGATTGCGGCACATCTCTGTTTGCCTGATAGGAAAAGCATGAGGAAGCCCCACAGTGACTTCAGCTGCGTCACAGAGAAACAGCCAGAAATAAATGCGCCGCAACAGACCGCAATCAGCCTGCCTATCAGCATTTTCAATTAAGTAAAATATAACAATCTTGAATTTCTCACATCGGTGCTTATTAGCCGTTAATAAAGGGATTTGTGAAATCATGTTCACTCAAGTAGTCTACTGGTTTCTGCAAAGTCAGTTTATTTAAGGTGATTTGCGCTGAGATAACAACGATTTACACATGTGCTATTTTCCGTTTGGATTACTGAGCTTCAGACTCTCAATGTGACAGTCTTACAAAACAAAATCATGAAAATGATGTTTTGTTGCGGCGCTTCCTGTTTGTCCAGAATAAACTGCAGCTTCCTCGGCCCACGAATCCCCCGCTGTAATGACCTGTAGTGCAAGGCGTCTGCCAAAATGAAATTCTAGGCAGACATTTTTTTTATTCGCCGGTATTCGCGCTTTTATTTCGCACATCTCTAATGTAAATATTCATCATAGCGTTGCTTTTAGAGGAGCAGAGGAGGAGCGACAACTGTGTGAACCGGGCGCGATGGCCGTACTTCAACCATATGAAAATTTTTACTTTCCTTGTGGGTTTCAGTACCGATCCGAGCGCCTCCGGAGACAGTTTGCGCACTAGAGAAATAACAGTGACACGTTCGTGCGGCTACTACGCCAAGAGGGAAACAACACAGTGGGAAGGAAAAAAAATCCGCAAAGCCGGTACGAGAACACTAACTCGGTGTGTTTTATGTAGGTGCAACAGGGCAGAAGATGTAAGAAAATTCGCTCGGCGACACGTCTGCACCGAAACTTTATGAACACAAAGAGGTTTCCGTGTCTTCGTGGGTGACGGCTGACAGTATCATCGGATAGAAGAAAGTGACCTCTCGGTTAACATATTAGGTTTCACTTAACTATTAAAACACAAACAGCAAAATAGCTGAGCGGCCGTGTGCGCGTACGGCTTTACTCGCTATCCCTCGCATGGTTATCTGCAAAACCAAGTGGTGTCGTGCGCCATCTCCAGTCCTGGGAGTCTCATAGTAGCATGCCCAAACATATCCATTAGTGTCCGTAATTGCCCATTATCACAAGAATTAATGGGAGAAAAGTTCAAGCCAACTAGCCGGAGTGGATAAAAATCTCCCACGCGGGCGTCATCGCCTGACAGTAGCCGTTAAGTAGAAACGCGGACGAACTCTTTAACCTCCCTTAACAAGGGAAAGATGAAACAAAAAAACAAACAAAAAAAATCAGCTCTTCTGAGGAGTTTAAATGGAGAATTGTCGCTTAAATCTTCAACCCACTGAGCGTGTGCTTATTTCTTGAAAGAAGCTGTCGTCACTCTATCGAGCAAATAAAACGCATGTTTTTCCCCTCTCTGCATCCCTGGGGACACCGGCATTGACAGCATCTCCTTTACAGTCAACACAACCGATGTCGGGTGAAACCAGACGTTCACCCGTCTACAGAGTTAGCAGATTAATAAGCTGAACTCGAGCCAGCGCGCCGCGTTGCCAAATATACCGGCGGAGTCAGAGGGTCGCTGCAAAATTCACACCCAAATCCAGATTAATGTAAAAGAAGAAAGTCCCATCAAACACGGGACGGTCGTTTCAAACACCCACTGCACTACTTTGTTAATTGCTTTAGTAACCACTTAGTAGACATGCGTGGGAAGAGCACCTTTGTTTAAAACACCTTTTAAACAAAAATGTCTTCATGGTGATTGCAGTGACATTTCACAATAATATGAATAATTCAAATTTAGATCTACTGATTTCTAGATTTTTCCAAAAATCTACCAATATACTAGGCAGGTGTCGGCTGTTTGCAACGTGACACCTGACACAGCGACTGAAACATCTAAAGAGCACGTTTGTAAAGATTTGTGTATTTTTTTTTAAGTAACACACATATTTTTTGGAGCCCGTCTTTAAAACTCACCTTGAATGCATTTCAGGATCGTGCCTCTGAGTACATAATCCAAGTAGAGCTTAAAAAAGTAACATGAAAACACAACAAAAAAGAATGAAGTGTTTTAATCAGTCTGCAAACCTGTAAACAAACTCAACCCTTTGTTTGCTTCCTCTCCCTTTCTCTATGTCGCGTCAATAAGGCAAACTGTGCGTAACAGTACACTATCTACTCCAACAGTCGGTCCGCCCCTGGGAGGGACCAATGCTTTAAAGCCTATTACAGCTCTTGAACGACCTCTGTATGTCAAGAGGAGCATTTCCAGTGGCTACCCATGAGGCTTTCTTTGTGCTCAATGTAAGGACACCAATTATTAAAAGTTACAGAAACAAAATTTGCAATGTAATTACAAAAAGTTTTGTTAAACCAAAATTGTCATTGCACTCATTATGCCACAGGCTATCTGGCCCCAATTGTTTGTGTTTATAACTTGGCAAAGGCAAATGATTGATTCCCAAATTTTAAAGAAGTGCTGTATGCACGCTGGAACAATGACTGAAAACAGGGAGGGGGCACTCTGTGATCTCTCTGGCACTTTTACATCTGCCTACATTTATAATAATAATGGATTGCATTTATATAGCGCTTTTTCGAGAACCTCAAAGCGCTTTACAATACCACTATTCATTCACTCTCACATTCACACACTGGTGGAGGCAAGCTACAGTTGTAGCCACAGCTGCCCTGGGGCAGACTGACAGAAGCGAGGCTGCCATATCGCGCCATCGGCCCCTCTGGCCAACACCAGTAGGCAAGTAGGGTAAAGTGTCTTGCCCAAGGACACAACGACCCGGACAGAGAGCCCAGGGATCGAACCGGCGACCTTCCGGTTACAGATGCGATTCCCAACCCCCTGAGCCACGGTCGCCCCACATTATTCAGTATTATAAGATTTAAGCCTATTGCTGGATTTTTTGGTTTTCCCTTTTTCCCCTGCAGGACATTAACAAGGTGAAAAATAAATGATATAATACTTTACCTTCTTCTTTTTGCACCCTTTTTAAAAGGTGCAAGTACAAGTTTGCTCATCCAAGTTTCATAAATCTGGTAAAGTGCACTAGCACAGTCCAGATGTAAGGATTTGTATAGAAAATTACAGTACCCATCATTTCTTTGTATTTTGCTAGGAAAATGGGAAATCTGTGCAGCAGTTTTTTATGAAACATCGAAACATAAATGGAAATGCAGTATATAAGGCAAAAACAAAGTTTCTGCAACCACAATGAGCTTGAAATGCTATGCCATAATTCTTCACTACAGTCTAAACTCTCATAGGTAAGCTTTCTTTTAATTTCTTTACATGGTCTCCAGGAATAGTTCTCCAGTCTTTGTGGAGGACATTCTAAAGCTTCTTTGGATGCATTTGTTGCACACTGCTTTAATAATGCTGAGGTCTGGGCTCTGAGGAGGACAGTCCATGAATGATAATATTCTATTGTGTGTTTTTCTGTCCAGGTATGCTTTTAGCACATTGGCAGTGTGCTTGGGATCATTATCATGCAGAGAAATTGAGCTCTTCAGATGATATTACATAGTGGAACAAAATCTGATGACACCTCCTGCATTCATAATTCCATCAATTATGAGAAGATCAGTACCAAAGAGCCTCCATTGTGTTTTTCAGATGGTTGTGGTCACTCACTGTTATATTTCTCTCCTGACTCCCTCCCTGCATATTGATAATTTGAACTACAAATTGTAACTTTGGATTCATCGCTTCATAAGATCGATTACCACTGATTTTCAGTTCAGTTTTTGCGTAATTTGGAATACCTAATCTTTTTCTCGCTGTTTCCCTTCCATAAGACAGTCACTTTCACTGAGACCATTTCTGATGAGGCTTCAGCTAACAGTAGATGGGTCATCTGAAAGCCCAGATGCGTTCTCAGGTTATGTGTCAGGTATCTGACACATAACCTGAGAATGCTCACATCTTGATATCTTCCTGTTTCCTAAAGACATGACTTTCAGATATGTTTATCTTTAAGTTTTTAAGCCTGCCACCTGTCCATTTTTCTACATTTTTTCCAAGACATCACACATTATGCTAATATATATCAAGTTTTCAGTTCTTTCAGAATCACTATGTTGGTGCAGAAATACAATTTCTTTACCTGTCAAACTGTGTTATCTTTGGCCTGTTATTAGATTTGACTAAAGAAACTGGAACAAAGTATCTCTTTTTGCAACACGCTACTAGTTACAAAGTGCTTAAAGATACCATTTAAAACTTATTCATTGCTAAGTTGTCTGGTATGTGTAGACAGTCCAGTGGTTCATCCCTTGAGTTAGGTGCCTTGAATGATTTGTAGTAGTGTTAAGTACCTTGTCAGGTACAAGGTCTGGATTAAAAATGAATGAAAAAGCAGCCAATTCTCAAAGAAAAACTCTAAAAGACATTCAGGAAACTTAAAGAAATATTGCTGTAGAGCACTTTAAAAAATCTGGCACCTTGGAAGCAAAATATAAAGAACTGATTGGTCTCTCAAGGCTTTCGCACTCTGTCTAGTTAAAACTACAGAATGATTTGCAAAATTAACACCTGCCCCTGTGCACCCAACCCCCACACACTTCTTCAAGAAATTCATAAACTGAAATTACTACTACTTTTTCCTTTTAACTGCCATTTGGCCTCATGCATCTTCCGCATTTGAAATTGAGACATTCACAATCTGGATGAAACTGACACCTACACATATGACTGCTAGCGTGAAAGTACACATGAGATAGGACTGCTGTTATGAATCATCGTTAAGGCCGTCTTAGTACCATAACTGTATTCCTTAAGATAGATTTAAAAAAAAAAAAAACACCTAAAGAAATGTAAGTTAGTTGGAGATGCAACAAAACATGGATTTTACAGTTTATATCTGCACTGCAGGAAGTTCATATGTCTGATTCTGATTAACAACATACAGTAAGATAATGGAATAATTCAAACACAGGTAAGAAAAGCTTAAATTCTGGTGTGCCATTCTCTAATTAAGAATATATTCCTTCACCACATGACCGCTTAATGATTTTGTTGTGAAAGATCCATAAAAGTCCAAAAGTGTACCTGTAAAAGTTATCCAGTCTCATACTCAAGTTTATCTTCTCAGGTTTGACCAAGCAGCTTCTAGCATGGCTGCTGTATAATCCGCAATTTACTCTGAGAGTTCAAACTTGGGCAGAAAGCAAATGTGATATGAAATATATTAATGAGAGCTTCATATCTGGCTACAAACAAGCAGTTTTCAGTTGAAGAGTCCACAGATTTCAAATCTGAAGGCAGAAACAAAATTGTATGGAAAAAAAAGAACATTGTTATACACTGACACTTTCAAATCAGGTGAGATGAAAGACCGAAAGAAATCTCATCATTCTCATCACTATTTTGCATACAAGAGTGAGTTTGTCAGCACACAGTTTCTAACATCCTTTGATTTCTATTGAAAAAGATTCAGAAGACATTTTAGGAACTGTGGTGTGCTTACTAGCACATGCTGCCACAGTAGGCTTTAAAAATCTAGCAATTTTATCCATTTCTCTATATCAACCTTTGTCAATTTCCTAAAAAAATAAAAAAAATATGTCATGTCGAAGGACCAGCATTTCGACGCACTGGAAGAGATCAAGTGCCCATCACAGAAGCACATGCAAGAGAATATAGCAAGACTTCAACTGAGAAATCATCAAATAGCAGCACAGATAATGGTCCTAAGGGGCATGAGCCGATGACCCTGAGTTGTAAGAATTTGTTTAAATCTTGTTAAAACTTTCAGTTTTTATAGACTTGTTCTCAGAAACCTCTGATCACATACATACATATAATTTAATCAAACAGGTAACCATAAGTTTGTATTGTATTCCTTCTTCAGCTAAGTTTCACACCGTATATGAGCAGACATTTGACATTTATACATTTCTACTGCATTCAGACAAGTCTCCCATCTTGTTGCGAGTGCCTGCTCTGTATTGTGCACGGTGAGGCGCGGAGGAGTTTTGCTGCAAAATGGAAAAGTTGCATTACAGTATCAACTGCCAAGAAACAATAAGGGAGGCCCAATCTACACAACTTCAGCACCTGCAGTGATAAAGGACTAAGGGAAAAGTCGCACACACGTATGCACAAACACACACAGACAAATCAGTATGAACAGACAAGAGTGAGACACTCAGTACCATTTGCATGTAATCAATACCAATCAGTTGCTCAGAGTGTGGGAAAAATGTGTGTGAACTGCTCTACAACTCTGCCTTTTTGTGTTCATTGGGAGGCTTACAGCTCTGTTTATTGTGATGATGATGCAGGTGATATTGTCGATGGTGCCAGTGATGAGAAAGATAATATAAAGAACTACGAGACCAAAATAGCAAGAGTGGTAAACAACATAATAACCTTCATCTTCATCAAGTGTTTTACAAAACCCACCTGCTGATAACTGGTTATAAGTCAAATTGAGCAAGATAAAAAAAATATATCAATAAGAATATATTTATAAATATCTTATATCACTGGATTTTCACCACTATGGTCTAATATAATTACCATTTATGCAGTGCTACAGAATTTTATAATTTGTTGGTTTAGTCACAAATCCCTTTGGAGTTGTGTCAGGAAGGGCATTCACCAGAAAAACTTTGCCAAAACATGAGGAGCTACCGGGTGTGGTGAATATGGGAGCTTTATCTAAATAAGCTGCTTTCAGTTGGTCCCTTAATCACAGGGGGTCACCACATGTTAGATTTTTATACCAGATGCCTTTTTTGACACAACCCCAAAGGGATTTGTGTGTCCTCTGGGGATCAAACCAGGAAACCTTTGCTTGTTAGGCAAATGTACAAATCACTACACAATGGAACCACTAAATACACACTGGCTAATGAGCATGAAATTAGGTAAATACTTTAATTTCGTGTAATAACTTTAACAATTCCTTGATTACAATTTAAAATGGTTTTATTACTGCAACAATGCCACGGGCAGTAACGCCTGAATAAAAGAAAGTTAAAGCAAAATGTGTGTGTCCCTGATTTTGTTTGATATTAAAACACACTAATTATTTCCATTGGCTACTTTTGAATGGTTCAATAAGTACAGTCTTGGATTCTTCAGACCGTATTAGAAACATGTCTAGATTTCTTAAATTGACAAAG